CTGGAAAAACACAGGTCATTTTATTGCTGTGTTAGGTGTGCCTCTGATCTGCACTTATCTTTGAAAAACCGTCTTCTGTTCCACTTTAGGGACAAATTCATAAACACTGAGGAGCCAAAGTAAATACCACCTGCTTGCCCCACCAACTACAGAACCCACAGAGATTTTCCAACTGCCCGGCACACCCTCAGTCCTACAGCTCCGGGCCTCTTCACCTCCCAGTCACCACATCCTTGGCAGCCAAGCTGCTTCACCTATCCCCATGCCCACGGGGGAAAGCTGGCAGTAAAAGCCCAGACTTGATACCCAATACTTTAATACAATAAGCAAAATCTCGAACACCTGCCTCCCTGGCTCCTGCTGGAGATTTCTATCCTCCATCCCTTTGTTTGACCCCATGAATGGCAAACCGAGTTTAAAAAGCAAATCTAAAATAATTCAACCATGAAAAAGGAAATGCCTATGCTTTTCGTATTTGGTTTTGTTTTGTTTTTTCCCTCTGCAGAGACGCGTTGGCTGAAATGGTACCTATTAGAAGCCTGGAACAAATAATCGTTTATGGCTACAACTGAAACCTCAACTCTATACCCTCCGAAAGGCCCCTCTCTGGTTTCCAAGCTCCAAGAGGTCCCAGTTGGTTACGTCGTAACTTGACCTTCTCACAGGCAATAAGCAGCTAGCACATGACGTACATCAAGAAGATATGATTTTTCGAAAGAATATTAGGTAAGGAAATGCTCTCATTTCTCAGTCACCCGTAAAAATTGGCACATAGGAAATTACAAAACAAGTCATCAGTCACCCCAAATTCTCTATATGCAGCAGGGTTTCAAATGGGGCTTTCTTCAGGGAACCTTTGTGACTATGTTCCCATGACGCCTGTTTCCCGTTATATCACTCAGCACACAGCGTGAGTGGTGTTTATTTTAAGTTCGCCTTCCCCACCAAGACTATACACACCATGAAGACAGGAATCATATGCCCTACTTAACCACTATATCCTTGGGACACTGCACGATGTTGAGTATGGAAGAAACTTTTAAAATCTGTTGAATGAACTGTCCAAAGAAATTAAACAGCATCAATATCTCTTTCTGCTTTTCTTCTTTATTTGCCCTCACTCTTCCCAGTCTATTTTCAGCTCAACAGCACAGTGCCATCAACTGGGACATGGCTCCGTCTTTTCTCTTTAAAGTTCATAGAGATCCCGGAGAAACTGAACAGGCGGGAGTTGGGAGGTATACAATCATGGCTAGGCCATGTCAGAAACTTGCAGTTGGGAGGCAGAGAAACCCACTGGAGGGAATGTTAGCACTCCTGGACATATCTCTTGAATTCAAAGGCAGAAGCAGAACCAGCTTCTGGAGATCAGGAGGAGGAGGAGAAAAACCTTCAGGCATCACCTGTTTTGCTTTCCTTCCCTCTGGAGCCAAGTGGTCCTTCCTCTCTGATTCATACTTCCTTTTAAGGGGATCGGTTTCACTTGTTCTTTATGCACTCAAATACCTCACAGCTATAAGGTTTACATGTTCCCAGCTCACGGGACCAGCTGAGGCTGACACAAGAATTTCCTATTCCAAATTCTAAATTCTGGGAAAATCAGGTTGGCTCAGGAGCAAACAGCCTTCACCAGGCAAGTCTGGTCTCTCCTGATTCCCTCTTAAAGGGGAAGCGGGAGCGTCTCAGAAAACACAGGGTAGGAGGACACACCCCCAAAGCAGATGTGTTTTTGATCATGGTGTGTCTGCTTCTTATTCTTTTGTCTACCACACCCTAAATTCATCCAGCCTTCTCACACCTATCCTTTCAGACTCACTCCCAACATCACACTCAGCCTTCACTGCTCATCCTTTTTCATCTAATGCTTTGTGCTTCCTCCCTCTCTGGGAAACTCCAAATTGTTCTCAACACTACAAAACACTACTATCCTACGCAGAACACAACAAATACTACCTTAAAAGGTATTTTAATAAACAGGTAAAAAAATAAGCCATATGTTACACATACAAGGTATTTTCTTTGTGGTCTCTTCTGGATTTGGAATACTACATATTTTATACCACCATAAACACACCATATGGTCCTCTCTGCCTTGTGATGTCCATGACATAGCCTCTAGATATACTCTATCTTTCTACTTATTTTGTAATTAATACACATAATCATTACTTAAGGATAAGACTAAGTAATCTCTTAACAAAACAGGTTTCTTTCTTTTTTTTTTTTAAGATTTTATTTATTTATTTGACAGAGAGAAAAAGAGGGAATACAAGCAGGCAGAACAGTCTACAGAGGGAGAAGGAGAAGCAGGCTCCCTGCCGAGCAGGGAGCCCAATGTGCGGCTGGATCCCAGGACCCTGGGATCATGACCTGAGCCAAAGGCAGATGCTTAACCGACAGAGCCACCCCAGCGCCCCATAACACCTTTCAACAGAAAGAAATGCAAAACAAGCCTTTGGAAATTCAAAGCTATTTCAGGTTTTCTAACGGTCCAAAAATATAGCATAATTCCTTATGCAACAAGATACTACCTCTCTCAAGTTAAACAAAACTGACTCTTGCTCAAAGATCAGCTACTGCGTTTTCTAAGTACATTCAACTCCTAGGAACATAGAAGGCAATTTCTGATCAATTGTGAAGAATATAGCCTTTTGTTTTTTTACCTCTCTGTGGTAGTGGTAGCCATCCAACAATAGAAGATTATGGAAAACACCTTGACCATATGCACCTTATTCATTTGCAAACCATGGCAACTAGCTCAGTGGCCTGCATACAGCAGGTATGCCAATAAATGTTTGATCCACTAGAATGTGTACTTAGAATGTATACTTACATCCATTTATTTACAAATTAATACCTTATATGCATAAGGCTTTCTATTATGTTCATATAAACATGTGTAAATAGATCAGCATGTTTACTATAATGCTAGAAGATAGTATTCTCAAACATTACATTTAGATCACCTAAGGATCTTATTAAAAATGCAGATTTTGATTCAGTAGCTCTAGCATGAAACCCAGTATCTGCATTGCCAGTAAGTTCTCAGGTGACCCTAATGCGGCTGGTCCAAACACATTTTAATAGCAAAGTGATGCCTTTTTCACTCCCTTCAGTAGAAGGCCATCGGCAAAATAATGCAAATCATTCAAGGGTCCTCCTCACGACTGTGTTCAAGCCCTAGGAAAATGTCCAATAATGTTCTCAGGCACTCTTCTTTAATATCAGACTCAAGTCTGCAGTAAGTATTTATGTACTGAGCACTTCTGCCTGGGGGAGGAGCTACAGCAGCCTGTAGTTATTCACATAGCTTCATAAATGATAAAAACGCAACTAGAGGCTTCTCTGTATTCTCAGTGACATTCAAATAAAGAAAACGTCAGAGAATGACAGCAAAATGTGTCTGGATGTGCACATGGGGAAGGGGGCAGAGAAGCAATGGCTCAGGATGCTGTGTCCCCATGAGAGTCCTATTCATGTTCATCTCAAGAAGATTCCTGGCTCACCATCCCCGAGTTCTCATCATTCTGCCAAGGTCTGACTCTCCTCTGTCTTCATGGTCATGGGAGTGACAGCTCTCTAGAGCTGACTACAGACCTTCCACACGTCCTCTAGTCAGATACCATGTCAAGTTTGATGAAAAATGAGACCACAGATAAGACTGGTTACATCACTCAAAAATCAGGAAAAGCAGTCCATCAGAGAATCCCTTTCCCTTTCCTTTTACCTGAGCCCTCATCACTGCCACAGCCTAAAGAGAAAGTTCACCCAGGCCTTTTGCTATAGAATGCCCATCTGCTGGTGGCACAACAGGTCAAGGGCCAATATAAGAATCACAAGAAGTTTCTTCTTCCCTAATGCAGGACTGACCACTTGGGTGAGCTTCTTGGTTATCATTTACTTACTATAAAATTCTGAAGGCATGCAAAACCTCAAAGATAATTTGAAAATCACAGAAAGCGATCATATCCTTCATAATTCATTTGTTCATCAACAAGCAAAATTGTTATTTATGTTATCACAGAATTCTCTTGCCAGGGGCATAAACTTAATCATATCTACAATTTAGCCTGCATTTATTTTGGCTGTACCCTGCCGCATGTATTTCCCAAACCAGGATACTCCTATCAAGGGGAAGAGGTACACAGTGCAGCAAGCCAGAGGGTAAGCGGGCCCAAACAACAAACCCAAAGAGGGACTTTGCTAGGGTTTCAATTTCAATTAAGATGTGAAGGAAGGGGAGTCAGGGAAATGTTTACTAATATAACTAATAATGAATGTACGTAATTATTTTATACTCAAACATGGAATAGGATACCCAAACTTCATTGATTTTTAATAATAAAACATCAGACTAAAAAGAAATTTCCTATTTTGGGAAGCCAGCTCTTCTCTCCCTATAGGAGAACCTCTGCCAGCACACCAATCTAAGAATCAGTAGTATGTGTTTTTTTAAAATATATTTAAAAGATTAGCTATTTATCAGTACAAGGACATATTTCTCATATAAGAGCTTGAGGAAATGAGATTGACCTCCAATTAGAATGTTTCAATCTTAAGCAATTCCTTGTGAGAACTAAATCATCAATGCTGACTGTCCTGTATTTGAATGAATAACATAACAATAACGCAAGAACAAACTTACTTCACAAATGTCATCACCGGGTAAAATTTTAAATGTTGAAGGAAGTACTCCATGAAAAAGTTAAACAAAAAGTTGGAAAAGAGGGAGACAGCTATAATCAGAGAGCCTGTGTGCTGCAGTCCTTCTTCCATTAATCTTATTCAGAAACTATGAATATATATAGTCAACATCAAAATAATTTTCTTATTTTACATACTGAGAGCTAAAATGATTGAATATGGTACTTTCCATTATAATGATAATCCCAATCCTCAGACATCCCTACTCAAGAAGAAAATACAAAGAAGGCACTCTGGAAAGGAAGGGGAGGGGAGGCCCATGTCTGATTTTTAAAGACAGAGATCCAGATACTTACCAGGCATCACTTGATATATGCTTGGCCAATACTGTCCACTGTCTCTCTTTAGCCATACACGAACAGTCCTGCAAAAGAAAAACAATACGTGTGTTAAATCACAGTGTTTTTAGTCATGAGAAAATGGTGATGGAAACCAAACCTCTTAACTTTAACTATGCTATGTCTTGATTAAATATATTACATATATTTATATAGATAGATAGATCTTAATTATAAATACTTATAAATAAATATGTAATAATACAAACATCACATAAAAATATAAATATTTATAAATATAAATACTTATAGGTATGACAAAATAAATATATTTATAAGTAACTAAATATATATTTACTTATATATAACTATATACGTGCACACCACTTATGCCTCTCCATAGATCCTATGTTCCTTAAATTTAAGGTTTGTGCACACTTAGAATTACACGACTCTTGAAGTATTATCCTCACATGTCTGTATACACACATGCAATAGTGAAAGTGTTTGAAAATTACTACTTTTATTGTTGTTCTGCCTGTCCAAGTTTGTGACCTTTGCCTTAGTCTGCTGGAAGCATTCATCTGTCTGGGGAGTTATTAGGTTTTACTAGTAAAGGAAGTGTGAAGAGATGAAATGAAGCATCTGACATACACAGAAGGGTTACACAGTAAATCCATAGTCTCACAGGCCAGGCCACTGTCTTGACAGAAGGTTTTTCCAGACATGGTCAGGTAACATAAACTTTGAGACTCAGATTCTTGAGCTAGAAGCTGGCCAGTGGGCCTGGATGGAACATGGAAATCCTGCAGCAAAGGCTGTGAATGAAGTTCTGGGCCAGTGGTCAGATACAGACATGGCAGAGACCCAGAGGAGCTCAGAAAGAAGGTGCCAGAGAGAAAATGAAGCAGTCAGAGAGTACTACTAGGTTCTCACTAACCAGAAAGGCCCACCATGAGTTAGTTACACCAGCCATGACAGCATCTGCACAGGCCAACAAGGCAAACACATCTAGAAGGTAATGGAACATTCTTCTAGAGACCAGAGGCAGTAGGAGAAATCAAACCAAGAGAAATAAGCAGTTCCCTACTGGTGGGAGATCCCACATAACACAACACTCACCCCACACACTTAAATCATCCCAGGCTAAAAAGCAAAGACTGAGCATATTTATCTCACACTATTTAAGTCAATGTACTAGACTAAGTTTTAAATTGTATTGGATTTTTCAAAAAATTTTAAAAAAATAAAAAATAAATTGTATTGGATTTTCCCCCTTATCAATGATCTCCTATATGGAGTACTAGGAGAAAAACTAGACCAAATACAGACACAATAAAGAAATAACCATTTTCTCCCCACAGCCACAAGATACAATGTAGCGATATACAGTGACACGATTACATATACATGCAAAAATTCCATCTTCTGGTTCAAGTATCCTAGTTTATAGGATGGACAGATATAATTGAAAATAATTTGTAAAAAGTAATTCCATACATATACTATTTATATACATAGTGCCACACTTAATTTTTTTAGAATATGCTGGTATGACATTTTAATATGGACATTGTTATCTCAACAAAAATAAATACAGGTGACATCACAGAGAAAGGCACAGTGGGAAGCTCCAGGAACCAGTCCCTATACCAAATCAGCTACTGAGCCAGTGTCAGAATCACTATTTTAGAACTCAGAAGTCTAGGTAGGCACTTGCAGCATCTAAAAATCACAAATGTGTGGAAATCAAACAACATAACCTTAAACAACCGAAGATCAAAGAAAAATCGCTAGGAAAATCAGAATGTATTTTGAAATGAATGAAAATAAAGACACAACATAATAAAATCAGTGAGGGGAAGTGAAAGCAGTACTCAGAAGGTAACTGATAGTAAATGCCTACATTAAAATAGAAGAAAGACCTCAAATCAACAAACTTACTTTACACTTTATGGTACTAAAAGCACAAAAGCACACAAACCCAAAGCCAGCAGATAAAAGTACATAATAAAGATTAGAACAGAAAAAAACAAAAGAGAGATTAAAAACCAAAGACAGTATCAGTGAAACTAAAATGTGGTTCTTTGAAAAGTTCACCAAAATTAAGCTTCAGCTAAACTAATTACAACAAAAAAAAGAATGTAAATAATTGAAATCAGAAATGAAAGTGGGAGCATTACTACTTAAAAGAAATGAATTATAATACTATGAACAACTGTATGTCAGTAAATTGGATAATCTAGATTAAGTGGAAAAAACCCCAGAAACACACAATCTACCAAAACTAACTCAAAAGGAAATAATCTCAACAGGCCTAGAACAATTCAAGAGATAGAACCAGTAATCATAAATAATAGTGCAGGACCAGATGCCTTCACTGAATTCACTGAATTCAATCAAACTCTTAAAGAATGAACAACCTTCCAAAAAATAAAGAGGAAGGACTATTTACTTTCTAACATTTTATGAGGCCAGCATTATCTCATACCAAAGTCAAAGATACCACAAGAAAATAACAGTCCCGGGGTGCCTGGGTGGCTCAGTGGGTTAAAGCCTCTGCCTTCGGCTCAGGTCATGATCCCAGGGTCCTGGGATCGAGCCCTACATCGGGCTCTCTGCTCAGCAGGAAACCTGCTTCCCTTCCCCTCTCTCTGACTGCCTCTCTGCCTACTTGTGATCCCTGTCAAATGAATAAATAAAATCTTCAAAAAAAAAAAAAAACCAGTCCCGTATCCCTTATCAATACATATAAAAAAAAAAAAATCCTCAACAAAATTCTAGCAAACCAAATCAAACAGCACACCGAAAGTATTACATGCTATGACCAAGTGCAATCTGTCAGAGGAATACAAGGGCGGTTCAACATAAGAAAGTCAATCAGTGTAATGTAGCACATTAACAAGATGACGGGGGAAAAGAAAACACAGATGATTATTTCAGCAAACACAAAAGCCCGTGACAAAATCCAACAACCTTTCATGATAAATAACACTCAGCAAACAAGGAATGAAAGGAAGTTTTCTCAACCTGATAAAAGATATTCTTTAAAAACTCACAGCTAACATCATACTCAATGGTAAAGACTGAAAGCTTTCTCCCTAAAATCAAGTACAAGACAAAGATGCCCACTTCCACCACTGCTTTTCAACATTACTAGAAGTCCTGGTCAGAGTAATTAGGCAAAAAGAAGAAATGTAAGGCATCCAAATTGGAAAGGAAGAAGTAAAACTATCTGTATTTGCAAAGGACATGATTCTACATACAAAAAATCCCCACAAATCCACTACTAAAGCTCATAAACAAATTAAGCAAAACTGCATGGTACAGAAATCAATACACAAAAATCAGTTGTGTTTCTATACACCAGCAACAAGAATTGTGAAAAGAAAATTAAGAGAAAAATTCCATTTATAATAGCATCCAAAAGAATAAAACCCCTAGAAATATATTTAACCAGGTAAGTGAAGGCCTTGCACAGTGACAACTACAAACAACTGCTGAAAGAAATTAAAGAAGACACAATGGGATTGGGAAGGTATCCCATGTTCATCAACTGGAAGAGTGGATATTAATACGACAAAACTCCCCAAAGCAATCTACAAACTGAATGCAATCCCCTCAAAACTCCAACAGCTTTTACTGCAGACATGGAAACATCAGTCTTCAAATCTATGTGGAATGGCAAAAAGCCCCAAATAGCCACAACAATATTGGAAAGAAAAACAAAAGTTGGAGGCCTCCCAATTCCTTATTTCAGAACTTACTACAAAGTTTCAGTAATCAAAACAGCATAGTATTATTAGCAGAAGCATAGATATGAATCAACAGAGCAGAGCTGAGAGTCCAGGTATAGGTGCAAACAAACACCTACAGACCATAATTTTTTTTTTTAAGATTTTATCTATTCATTTGACAGAGATCACAAGTAGGCAGAGAGGCAGACAGAGAGAGAGAGAGAGAGAGAGGAGGAAGCAGGCTCCCTGCTAAGCAGAGAGCCCAATGCGGGGCTCGAGACCCAGGACCCTAAGATCATGATCTGAGCTGAAGGCAGAGGCTTTTTAAACCACTGAGCCACCCAGGTGCCCCCGGACCATAAATTTTTGACGAGGGTGTCAAGATACTTCAACATGAAAAGAATAATCTCTTCAACAGATGGTACTAGAACAACTAGATAACCACATTCAGAGAAATGAAGTTGGACCCCAACTTCACTTACAAAAACTAGGGATGGATTAATCACCTGAATATCAAAGCTGAAACTAAAAACTATTAAAGGAGAACACAGAGGCACATCTTCATGACCCTGACTTCAACAATGGACTCTTGAGTTGGACATGACAGTCTGAGCACAAAAAATAAATAAATAAGTTAGACCTCATAAAAATTCAAAACTTTTGTGTAACAGAGACATCATCAAGAATGGGAGGACAAGCTACAGAATGGGAGAAAATGTTTGCAAATCAGATGATGGAGATTTAGCGCCCATTCTATGTAAGAAACTCTTATAACTCAACAAAAACAAAATGACAAGCAACCCAATTAAAGGGTGGACAAAGGGCTTTAGTGGACATTTTCCCAAAGATTAACAAGTAGACAAAAAACACATAAAAAGATATTTGACATCACTGGTCAACAGGGAATGCAAATCAAAGCCACAGTAAGATACTACTTCCCACTCACTAGAAAGGCCTATAATAATTTTTTTTATGGAAGTTAAGTGTTCTAGAGGCTATAGTGAATAGAACACTCATACATTCCTCAAAGGAATGTAAAATGATGCAGCCACTGTTGAAACTAGTTTGACAGTTCCTCAAAAAAACAGCAAACCATATGACCCACTAATTCCACTCCTAGGTATGTGCTCAGAAGACCTGAAAACACATATGCAAACAGATATGTCTTCATGTATGTTCATAACAGTACAATTCTTGCCATTTGCTACAACATGGATGGATCAAGAGGATAATGCTAGGTGAAATAAGTCAGTCAGAGAGACAAATACCGTATGATTTCACTCATGTGGAATTCAAGAAATAACAGACTTTTTTTTTTTTAAGATTTTATTTATTTATTTGACAGAGAG